TGACAGATATCCACTTTCGCTCATCCAATGTTTTAACCAATAGGATATTTGCAATATGCATGTCAGGTCCATGTTGACAGATATCCACTTTCGCTAATCCAATGTTTTAACCAAATGTCCCAATGGGGTATTAGCAATATGCATCTCCATGTTGACAGATATACACTTTTAACTACCAACCAATAGTCTAAAGAACTTTCCCCAATAGGCATGACGAGTTCATAGTGACACAAATCCACTTCACCGTATAACATCAATTTCAAAGATCATTGTCGAGTTCAACGAGGATAACTCATGAAAACTAAAACCGAGGGGTGTTTTGGGTAAACAATTAATGGGGCTGATATTATGCATATTGCAGTTACTCTTCATGCATATGTCTGCATAAAAACACTCTTAAAATGCCCAGAATATCGACTACCCACAATACCTCTCGATCTTAGCTCCGATGATTTAACCTTTTGAACCTGAGTTCGAATGAGTTACCCAAACGCATGATTGTGGCATCCAAAACGTCTAACTCATCTAATGTACCTAATCATCTAATCAACGCGCTTAATTAAGTGCAACATGTCCTACTCTAAAATATTGGCTGCAATCCAATGTTATTCAGCCAATACTCTTTCTGAAATACAAAGGTAAGTTTTACCGGTAACCAAAAGAAATGTTCTAATTCAAAAACTCTTCCAACGGGTGCCTTCGACCAAATTGTAACTCCTGGATAAATGGCCAAAAGAAAAACGGATTTCGGAACAGTTCACCATCCCTATGCCGAGGAATTTCCTCTCCCAGCAAAATCCCCTCCAGCACAGGCTTCAACTCCTCGTGCTTCTTCTGGATGGCAGACACCAGCTCTTTGAAGCTTTCTCCAGAGGAGTCTAACAGTTCGAACACCTCTTTTGCAGCTTTGAGTGTATCTCTGAGAGTGTCTTCCTCAAGATCGTGGTATTCAAACTCAGGGCGTAGTTCTTTGTGAGAGGAATGAGGTCTACGATCGGTGATGTTCTTTACGAGTAAAGTCACTTTGGGACCAAGTAAAAGTTCTTTGAACTGTGACTCGATCCTTTAACAAGAAAGAAGAGAATGATGAAAACGAAATGGAGATAAGACGGAGAGTGGGAAACAAAAAGAAGAACAGACAGACAGACAGATAGTCTGACAGACAGACATACAGACCAAAAGACATTCACACAGACAATTAAACAAACAATCAAGCAAACAAAGGATAGGAAACAATCAATGAACATGTCATGAAAAAAATGATTGAATGAAAAAAAAAGAAAATATTAAAAGAAAATAGAGAGAGAGAGGAAACCAAAAATAAATTGAGCAAGGACCGGCAATTCTTTAAAATAAATAAATAAATAAAAATAAATTCATGATAACGAAAGCAAAAAAAAAAAAAAAAAAAATGCTTTCAGAATAACGTCAAATACCTTTGAATCAGAAACAGAAGAGAAGGGATGGTGTTGATAGCTTTCCGTAGCTGAGCGAGTTCAATCTTGCTGACCGTATTTAACTCAGCTCTAATTGCCTTGCACGTGTCTTCATCTATTTCTGGAAAGAGCCTGCTTGACATCTCACGAAGAAAACTCAGCAGATGCATTGGGTTGGTAACGGACTTCAGAAGATCGGTGACAAAACGCGAGATATACGACTCGTCTATGCCCCGACGTGAACCTGCAGAATCGTGATATAAACAACAGACGCTCTTAGGAACGAGATCAAAAGAATATTTCCGGGGAGAACTCCATTTCATAAGTTTTTTATTTATTCTAGTTTACAGGTTTTAAGGTTATACTATCGTCCTCGGTTACCCCAGTTAGTATTGGTTTAGGAAGTCGGTACCGATGTGTACCCCCTCTCATGGACTCCTTGAAATGCTCGATACTGGGTGTCTATAGCCACTATTTCTGTACAGAAATTCTTGTATATTCGTTTGTATATATTTTGTTTTCCTTGCTCTTTATATTCATTGACAGTACATCCATTAATGCATCAATTGAACTTAATTTTAGCTTTGGAGATATTTGAGTACAAAATGCAGGTGCTTTTATCCAGGATTACCTAACCCCTCCCCTCTAATTCTGGTTTTGCGCCATCACGTAATAGCAGTCATGAAAATAGGTTCTTTTCCCCTGGGAAGCTGAATTCTTTCTCCTGTAAATCAGATTAGACCAGATTCAATAGTCCCCTTCACAGTTTTCTGCGCCATCTTCAAAGGTAGCAATGCCTTTGCTTCGAAGCGGGACGAAAAGTGAGCTTGCAATGATAGAGACCTTTTTAACACAATTATTGGACAATTTCCCCCTATCATTGCAAGCTTGCCGTTCGTCTCGCCGCTATGCAAAGACACGGCTACCTTTCAAGATGGCACAGAGAACTGTGAAGGGGACTATTGTTCCTGCCACCTGTTAAGGCTGCCATCACGTGATGGTGCAAAGCAAAGCAAACACCTTTATCCGAATGGGATAAAAATGAACCTCTTAACAAAACTGAGGAAAAGTTTACAATGAGAACCAATAGAAGATCTTACCAGTAGAACTTGAAGCGGAGAATCTTTTACTTGAGCCTTCTCCTTGCTTGTTTTCCATATCAAGCCATTTCTTGGTGGCGATGTAGCAGACTACTTCACAGAACTCTTGTAGACGTTCTTTCTTATCGCGATCAGACCTGCGATACCTCATGTATCAAACACAAACACAACCAATAGACTTTAGTATTGGCAGCAAGTGATGGTAGGAAGGGGGCAAGGGGAGGACAGGGGGATTCAGGGGCGGATCCAGTGGGGATGCAAACGGGAGCTGTAGCCCCCCTCCCTTTCGGGATGTTAGTTATGTTTCTATAATTGGAATAGAAAGAAAACTTCAAAGCCCCCTTTATATTTTTGACCATTTTTCGCTGCGCTCACTAGTAAGTTATCACCTCAACACTCGAAGATCCGTATCTTCGCGCGGCCATTTAGTATTCTCTGTTATACCTTCTCAGGGGACTTTCATTTCCTCTGGTTAAAGCAGTGAGTCCCATGAGACCAAGCTTAAAAGACAGTTCAAGGTAAGGGTGTGGTTTGTTAGGTGTTATGTAAGGGTTTAAGGGTATGTACGTCTTGGCTGGTTCCTCGCTATCAGAATCTTCACGACCTTCGTTGAATAGTCGCTTCTGCAGAAAAAAACAAGCAGTTTATTTTTATTACTTCGCATTTCTCTGCTCCCAAACATTTTTGCAGACCTTCACAACAATTTTAATTAATGTTTCTTCTAAAGAGATTGTTTCAGGTTTCGACCTGCGAGTTAGCCACTTAGATCAGCCCAGAGGTTGTTTAAGTGTTTGATCAGTGAGTTAGCCRTGCCCTGACTTAGATCAGCCCAGAGGTTGTTTCAGGGTTCGACCTGTGAGTTAGCCATGCCCTGACTTAGATCAGCCCAGAGGTTGTTTCAGGTTTCGATCTGTGAGTTAGTCATGCCCTGACTTAGATCAGCCCAGAGGATGTTTGAGGGTTCGATCTGTGAGATAGCCACGCCCTGACTTAGATCAGCCCAGAGGTTATTTCAGGGTTCGATAAAAAGTAAAGGTTTTTATCTGCCTTACCAGACCCATCCCTCCGTCCGATGCTTTCATTCTTTGGTTTTCATTTGTAATTTGGTTCAATTTATAGTTGTAACACTTAAAGGCTTGCTCGGAAGCGAACATCAGAGACTCAAAGTGGACAGTGTTACATAGTGCCATGTCGTGGATGTGTTGACAGGCCCATGGTGTTAATAAGTAACTGGTATCTCTGTGGTTCTCTCTGTTTTGATATAAAGAAGGAATATTTTAATGGGTTGTTGAATCAGGTAAGTGGGAGTTGTCAGAGTTGTCAGGTGGGTGGCTTCACCCATGATGGTGTTAATAAGTAGCTCTGTGGTTATCTCTGTTTGTGGTGGGTGGCTTCATCCATGATGGTGTAAATAAGTAGCTCTGTGGGTATCTCTGTTTGTGGTGGGTGGCTTCACCCATGATGGTGTTAATAAGTAGCTCTGTGGTTATCTCTGTTTGTGGTGGGTGGCTTCATCCATGATGGTGTTAATAAGTAGCTCTGTGGCTCTCTCTGTTTGTGGTGGGTGGCTTCACCCATGATGGTGTTAATAAGTAGCTCTGTGGTTATCTCAGTTTGTGGTGGGTGGCTTCACCCATGATGGTGTCAATAAGTAGCTCTGTGGTTCTCTCTGTTTGTGGTGGGTGGCTTCACCCATGATGGTGTCAA